TAGTCTGGAAAACCTCAGCACAATTCATTCAGAATCTGATAGTGATCCTGTACGGCAAGCAAGAAGTTGCCAATCACCATGTAAATCGAATCATAGGTGGACATGTACAAGACACTGACTAACTCTGCTTTTGGCCAAATTGCCATGAAAGAATTTGTGTAGTATATCTTGAATTAGATAATAAATAGCTCACAGCAGTGAAAGGCATGAGAAACTAATCTTCCTTCTCGGTTCTTGACCTCATGATACACACAAATTGCTTAGCAGTTGAAGTATCATATTGCCAACCAGAGCTCCAAGCAGCCTTCCAACTTTCAGAGTTGAGGGGACATTCCTTTGTCTCAGGCATATCATTTGTGCACAGTGCAAAGACTGGCTTCAGACTTAAAATTAATAAATGGATAAAATGTGATATTTAGCCATGTCCATATTGTTACCAACCAACACCATCTATTCATGCATCTGAGAGTGTGTGGTTTATCTGTCATCAACCTAGCAAGTAAATGCACTACTGGGTGGAACAAAAGTCACACATCATAGGGGATTTCACAATTGGACTATATGAATTCCCAAAACAATAATAATGGTGATAGTAACTATTCCATTTATTCTTATCAAATATATCCTCTCATCTTTTTTTATATTTTGCATTCATCACTTACCAGGAAAGAAAGAAAAATAAATTAATATACTTCAACAGTGAAATCCCCCAAGGTGCATGACTTTTGGGCCACCTTGTACAAAGACTGAAGAAGCAGGGTGGCCCATGAAATGATCCAACATTTAAATTTTGAATAAATAACTAATTTAGCGCCTGAAAATACAAATACACCATTCCAAGATAATAAAAAAGTGTGTGGTGGAGGGGTAGTGGATGGAACGCTCCCTTCCACCTTTCCTCAATCACCCTAGGAGTTATCAAGTATTATATTGGTACCTAACCTCAATAAAGGCATTTAAGTATTTATAATTTTACATGAGAAAGAAAAAACTTCCTCAAAAATAAGATTTTGAAGTCCGATCAATGTCTCATGTCTGAAGACATGTTACCTTGACAGACAGACAAATGTCCTTGTGGTAGGAAATGCAGCTTGAGAATCTGAACTCAGTGATGCCAAAAACTCAAATTTTCTAAAATTGCTCAGGTGCCCTTTTAGCAGTCAGGTTCTGATATCCTAAATCAAGGAGAACTAAAAGACTGTCCAACCATGAGGACATTGTCATGATCAGTGCATGGAATTTCGAGCAACGAATGAGGAAAGGGGGCTGTTTTTTCTTGGAATGTGTTTAATATTTGTAATATTATTTGTATTTGCAATGTATTTAATATTAAGAAAAATTTTCGGCAGCAGCAAACATTCATTGAAATGCATGACATGCTGAATGTGCCCTCCATTTTGCTGATGTATCAGGTTGTGGAAAAAGTATTGTCGGTTTTTTTGCCGCAACTTTGAAAGTCCATATCTCGTCAAAATCAACTTTATTCATCGAAGTAAAAACCGTCCGAACCGTTCGCGAACGAGCTGACGACCTATTCGTTGATTGGCGAAATTATATTCGGGAAGTCTGCCTGGAAGAGCTTCAGAAGGCACTTCCAATGGGCGATCCAGGAGAGTGAATTGAAATTGACGAATCGTTTTTCAAGGCTAGACGTAAGTGCAATCGAGGCAGGTTCATGCCAGGAAACGCTCTCCCTCCTGCAAAGAAAAATTATGGGAATAGGATATTGGGCCCGTATATCCTGGGAATATTTTGGAAACGTGAGGGTCACCCTCACGAGAACCGCATGTTTCCAGTCCTTCGGCGCGATGCACTCTCCCTCATTTCCATCATACGTGGGAATGTTGCACCTGGATCAGTAATTTGGAGTAACGAGTGGAAGGCTTACAGAAGCCTAGGCAACTACGGGTACATACATGAAACTGTAAATCATTTCATACATTTTGTTGATCCTGTCACCAGTGTCAACACGCAACTCATAGCTGTTAGAATCGCGTCAAGACAAAAATAATTTAAAATCAGAGGGGCACGCCACTTCTCAGAGAACATCTAGCGGAAGTATGGTGGCTAAGCTTACACCCACAAACTCCATTCTGGGATATAATCCATTAAATTCAAGCTCAATACACCCAATGATTGCAAAAAGTGCTCATTTTATATACTGATTCCGGTCCTGTGCAAGACAAATAATCATTGACATTGACAAAATAAATTGCATTGATTGACGGTACTCTTTCCTTTCCTCAGACATGAACCTTAAAGAACGATAACGTACCTTTACAGAACAGTTCATGTATATGAACGCGCTCCCGAGGCCCATAAATCAATTTAGAGGTCATCCCTTCCCCACCCAAAATCCTGCAAAATTTTCCGGTTCGGCCGTGGAACTGTCTTGCCTTGCTGTCCGTCCGTCCGTCCTTGAATGTCATCGGACTTTGCCCTTCTCTGATCCACCGCCTCCCAGGGGCAGTGCATTACTCACCATCGTCATTCCATTCATAATAGGGGGGAATTCCATGGTGTCCATGTTCGTAAATTCTACTAGCCTATGCACTAGCTCGGTGTCCACATAATCGATTTGGTGCAAAGCAGGTGTCCACCAGACCGTTTAAGCCCAAATAATCCTTGGAGTGAAAACATATACCTAACTTATGAGGGCAGAGGCTGAATACAGAATATATCCAAACCTACAACCTGAAAGTAAAAAAAGACCACCAACATTTGACGCTGTTAAAACATGGATGTGAATAATTAGCTCCCATATCTGACTTATTAGTTCACCCAGTCGCATACATATGCAACAGCTAATTTGCAGAAAAGCTCCATATGTACATCTGGTCTATATCATCACAACACTTCAATATAGTTCCATCTGCAAGTCAAGCAAATTAGAAAGCAGTAATACAATGTACTAAGAGATGAATGTATTGGGTTAAACTCTGGGTACACACACCGAATTAGGCCTAGGCCTAATTGATTATCTCAGGCCCGCAGGTCTAATGTTAGGCGGTCAATAAAATCAACGAGGCCAAACGTTACTCCCGTTTGCGATGGGATCAGGGTAGTCGTGTAACGTCACGCCAATAAGCTTAGAAACGACGCTACGCCTGTTTAAACCTCGTTTCAGGAATTAAATATGTTTAACAGTCGGCTGAAGCAGATATAGAAAAGAACTTAACATTAGACTGGAAAGCATGAACAGACATGTGTACCCACCATATTTATGGATGTGGCACTCATGGGTCAAGCAACATTTTACGCAAGTCAGATATTCGAATTCAAACGCGCGTATCAGGGGCTTGTTCAACCCATATTCATTTCCAGTAAGTTAGTGGTATCAGGAGGCGATAATACCCATTTGGATATTACCTGTCGAAGTCGAGCGTTCTTTAAGTATAGAATACGCCTACTCCTCTTAAAGTTAAATATATATAATTTAAAGCATATTTCAGCATATTCAGCGATGTGTCAGGAGGGAATAGTCCATCACTGCATAGAGAGAGAGTCTGTCAAGACAATAAATTTTCTTGATTTCCTGATGGGTCTTCTACTACTCGAGCAACCCTCGGTTATTCTAATGAATAACGTTCCATTCCATCACGGAAATGTCATAGTTAACACCATACATGAGCGTGGTCATGATATTATTATGTATACACCAGCATATTCTCCCTTCCTCAATCTTATTTAGGACTTGTATCTTTCGCAAGCGAATATCGTACAATTCGTTGTTAGTTGCATTTTCAATTAAGTCCGAGAGATGTCATGAGGATTTGCCCCTTCCAACAGAACACATTCGAAGGAGATCAAGTCCCCTTTCAGATTCTGCGTAGTTGATTAGTGGGATTGGGGAGGCTGTTTCATCGATTACCGTCTGTCATTGTAAGGCAGCGATGAAGAACACTGAATGAAGATCACAAGAAGAGTTATTTTTCGAATCATATTTCAAGAAGCTGCACCAGAAGTATGACTTTGCCGTAAGTAAAGTTCATTGAAACAATCCTTTTCCTGCAAATTCTCATCGCGATATCCAAACCATATTAATTATGCTATATATGGTAATGAGATTGACCAGACCTGTAATTGCGCTGATCATTAGCTGGAAAAATTCAAACTTAGGCAACCGTGCAGGGCTCCACATATAGGGAATCAGAGACCCATGAATGATTATACTAATATTTATCCTTCCATCCGCAAGGTGTTCTGCGTGTGGATGCGCTCCTAGGCGGAAGGGGGTTACCAATTCAATCTGAAAACACTGTATGTCACAATACAGGGAGTCAGTTTTTCCAGTCTGGTGTCTGTCCTCCGCGCTGAATCCCATGTTGTTCTTATTCGAGAATCGAGTCACTGTAACTGCAAGGTTTCTCTGCCGTTTAAATGTTATGTGGTTTACCTCCTTGCCAGGTGCGAAATGGTCGCGTCACAAGGCCTATTTGCAACCGATCTCGAGCAGATTGCGTTTCATCGCCTTCATGAAAGAAGAGTCTTGGGGGGGGAATGACTGGGAAACATCTCACTGAACAGCACAAGAGAAACGTCGCGAAAAATCAAGGCTTGCAATTAATCAGATATTGTCTCTCTCAGCTACAAGTGCCTAAAACTTGTGCTCCTCTTCTCTTGCAGGCATCTGAAAGGAATGCCTCATCAAAAGCTTGAGCTTGAGCAAGTGATACAAATGGTGCGGTGGTTTGCAAGCTGCAAAAAAAAAGTGAACCCTGTGCGAAGAGTGCAGAGACAATTCAAGGAAACCTATCCAAGCCAAAAAATCCCAGATGAAGATCAAATCAACTATGGTCTGGTCGAGCTGCAAGGGCTGATCTATCAATTTTTGAGAATCTTAAGTGTGAGAAAGAAATCGAGGCTATCTGGAAACACTTCCGATGAGGAAAAGGCGCCGCAGAACGCTGGAGCCCGTCCCCGTGCACGCCGCCAGACCCCTACGTCTCAACAGCAGGAAATTCTGCGAAATTACCATATTTCAGTAGCTATGACAGACAATCAGTCATATCTCATGAGAATGAGATTGGAGTGCTGTGCATTTTTGACTAAGAAGTTGAAGGAAGATAAAAAATTTCTGGACCACGCGTTCTTCACGAGTTCTATCCGTTTCTATCTGGATGGAACTGTGAAACGAGAGAACGTCAGGTTCTGGGGCAAACGGCCCCCAAATGCTCGAGCATATCACAAACATGCACTAAAGGAAGATTTGTCAAAGGGAGTGATCGTATGGTGCGCCATGTCCCGGAAATTTATAATCCGCCCCTTTTTCATCAGAGCTGGGAAGAACGATGCGCAGTACGTGAGAATGCTTAATAATTATTTTTTGAAAGCCTTACCAGAAGAAGTGAAAAAGGGCAAGGTGTGGTTCCAGCAAGACAGCGTCCCAAACAAGCAAGTTGCTCCATTTGTGTTGAAATGGCTCGAAAGTCATTTCCCAAGGAGAATCATCTCGAAAGGCCTTTGGCCACCAGGATCTTCTGACTTGAACCCTGCCGATTCGTTCCTAGGAGGATTTATAAATGAGAATGTCTATCAGTCGAATCCAAAGACAATAACGGATTTGAAAAATGCGATCATAAAAGAATTTGAAGTTGCTCGAGAGAAAGACGTTCCAAAGTATTTCTTCGACAATGCCAAAGCCAACTGGAAACATTGCCAAGAACACGGAGGCACTCTCCTTCCAACTTCCAAGGCATACACGCCAAAGGTAATGCATTGTAAATTTTCCATGCGGAATGAAAGTTCCAAAATTCTAGTGGAATTTGCATTTCGCATTCTTTCACAAACTTTTTCGGAATTTCCTTAGGGATGGTCAGAGCCCTGCGGAGCTCGTCGATGCATGACATGTCCAGTCATGAAGAAAACCTTTTCCCGAATGCTGAGGGGCGAGAAGAAAACCTGGAAGCACACCATCGTCGCGGTGGGCGGGGCAAATTGTAAAACGGATCACGTCGTTTACAGCATCACTTGTCAGATGTGCGAAGAACAGTATATTGGCTGCACAACTCAACCCCTGCATGTTCGAATAAGAGCCCATAGAAGTACGATCCAAGGGAAGCAAGGACATTTAAAGCCATTATACACCCACATGCAGAGATGTGTGCCTGATGAACCTGGGGCGTCGGATGACCAAAGGAGGGAAACGGAATTGAAAAGGTGGCGTATGATCAGGGTGGACATACTTCACGCTCCACAAGAAAAATCCAGGGAAAACCTGGAAGCCCTGGAGAAGGACTACATCCAACGCTACAACCCTGCAATAAACGTCAAGAACAAACCAAAGTAAGGAAAAATGTATTATACGTCTTAACTGTTTTCCCAGAATAATAATGACAAATTTTCTCAGAAAAATCACAACCGGAAATTTTCCTGAATGTAATTTGAATAAAAGGCAAATTAAACTTGTACTACGAGAATATAAGGCTAAGTCAAGAGTAGAGCAACCATGTCGATGTACAAGTTCTGTTTCTTCAAAGAGCATCTTCGAATCACTAAGGAAGCAGAGAGAAAATGTAAAGTATAGCTGTCAAAGTAAAAAGAGTTTATCTTGAACGAGGGGCAGAGATTAGAGATTGCATTTTTTTCAGAAGAATGCGTCACAATCAGCTATGACACATGGGGAAAATACTGAAATCCCAGAACGGTGTCAGGTATTATGAACTCGGAGAGGGTATTCCACTTGATTTCAAAAGGAATGGAAGGGTATATTGGGAGCAATTGTGACGTTGGTGGTCTTGATAGAAGCAAGAATTCAAGAAAGTGGCGAAATGAATCAGGCAAATCAATACTGTGGAGATATAATAATAGACAATAAGAATGCAACGAGTTATAATAGAAACTACCTCCGGAAGTTGATAAATCACTCAGCAATGCAAAAGCCTTTACCTTCTTCTCCATTATTTCCTCAGGAAGGGCACCAAGGTTTCTCAACGGAATGCCTCAAAAATGAGTACGTCACAAGAGCTACAGCGGAATGTACGCCCAGCTGTACACAGGAGAGCCATGCCACAGAATACTGCCACGACGAAGGAGAATACCAACGTAAAGAAGAGGACATCATCTTCACTGAAGGAATCTAAAACCTCTGTTGCTGGTCCGAGTCTCGCACCTGTGAAAACGCAAAATGCTTCAGCGATGTCGAAAGATGGACGTGTCGAACTCCTTCGAGCCTCTTCTGCCAGACTTCGCTGTGTGAGAACGGGCTCAGAAAACAGGAAGGAATTGTCTCGGTACAGAGCATACCTTGTTCATTTTTCAGCGGTGCGTAATACCAGTGTGCTTCAAGAAAGCGCCCTGCATATAAGAAAGTACAAGCGCGAGGAATTCTAATACGAAAAACGTTTACCATCTCCGACATAGATGGCACTGTCGCATCAAACGCCGAGCAACTGGTCTAATTCTTAGTTAAGGTATCAGATCAGGGACGCCCATAGAGTTCGTGATGGGGCCATCATTTTCCCTCAGATATCCAAGCAAGACCATGCCGTTTGCAGGCATGGTAACCCTGGAAAGCAATTATTCGGTGGCAAGGTACCAGTCACTTATGTACAGGGTGGCCCAAAAAGGACAGACCGTTCAATACGCATATTAAGTGTGATGCTTTCAATGATTATTTTTCCGGTGACACATATTGGAGAGAAGAAACAGTTACAAATGCCTCTTAATGGTCTTGAAATGTCTTAAACGGTGACTTATTACTAATTATTGACTTTTTGTTACAAGAATTCATCATTGCTCACACCAACTTGCTCCAACATCCCCTCGACGACCAGACACGAGAAGGGGAAGGGAATCGGTAACCTCACTTGACGTATCAAGGATGATCAGATGTGCCAGCCAACGTAGGCGGTCGGGCAGCGCAACACCGATTTTTCGTAACCGAAAATTCAAGAATTTTTTTTTCTGAGTCTCAGTTTAATATATTTCAAATTTGAAAATGCCTTTTTGTAGCTGCGTATTTCTTCTTTCAATACATGGTGATGGGGAAAAAAATCTTTGAATCCATCGCGCCTAAAATGACCATTGAAAAGAGTGCCTTTTTTATAGATAAACCTGTATATTCTTCTACTGCTTCGTCCCAGTTTCTTATTTTCACTATCGGCATATGATTTCGGGAAATGGCAGGAGACAAGTTGAAGGCCCGTGGACATGTCTGAGGTAATTTTCCTTGGATAATGACACGATATGTTCGCGGTTTTCCGGAGGAACTAAAGTAACAGTGAAATTGTGCCTGCGCTTCCATTGCCCTGTCGGGACCATTCATGTCTTCTCACAAGTACTTGATACTGAAGAAATGTCGACCATATCGCGCATTGGTTCTAAGCCTAGAACGCTCAATTAAAAACGTCTACGTCAAAAAAAATTTTCTACGCCTTAAATAAATCTCTTGCGATTCATCCATTTGCACCTTTGCGGATCTCTTTCTTCTGAAATGAGACTCCATGGCGTCACCCTAGCCCAAATCTCCTAACCTGATTGTGGGCGCCCTTGTATCAGATACTGGTACCTTGGAAGGCATTGGTGTTGCAAAGATATGCTTTCTTAAAATGGAAAATCATGAGAAATGCAGTCGAGACGATGTGCAATAGGAGAAATATGCTGTGAAGACGTGTGGACGCTTTAAACTTTCGCATTTCGACTCGATAGCTCCTTTCCAGATGTCCAGATTCCATCTCAATCTTGCTTGTGGAAGAGTCACTACCAAAGCACCAACAGACAAATTTGATGCAACAGAAATTCATGCGTCCAAACCAATTCGATATGTTTAACAGAGGATGATCGGCACATTTCTGTGTATGCAGCCTTCAGGGTCATAATTTATAACTGTTTATTGCAGAGTGGCACATGAGGTCATACTAACATCAAACTTTCGTTGAATTGTTCACTTGCTTCCATGTTCCAAAATGGGGAAATATCACGGGCACTTGTAGAAAACCATAGAAATTGATTCACTGTATCTTTAAGGTTTGTCGGCCTGGCATAAGTTCATACAGGGTGTCCCTGTATCGACTGAATATGGGAAGCTTCGTATCCAGGACGTTCTGATCTAAGCGTCTGCTACCTTAGCCTAACGCACGAGGCCTAAAAGACTGCGTTTCTAGGCCGTAGGCTAGAATGAAAACCTATGTTCAACACTATAACACTATAAATCGACGTCAATCCTAGATGTTGTAACGGAATGAAATGCCTCCAGACACTTCCACCAGAATCCTGACTAAATCCTGACAGTAGGTAGTGCCCCCAATTGTGGAAGGCATGAGAAGTAGGAGGAGGAGGATGCGGCGGGAGTGCAACATTACTTTTTACCCCTAGATTAACAATAAAGAGGTGTAAAAAAAATGCCAGCGATATTATGGAATTTTAGATACATAGCCAGGTATTCAGTAACTCTCAAAAAAGTGCCAAACTTAAAAATCTCAGCAATGACTCTATTGTATTGACCTCTTCTCTGACTCGCAAAACACAGGAACCCAACGTTGCATAGAATGATTTGTATAGATATGATCACCTGCCTATACACTTATTATTTAGAGTAGATCAGTTTTCCAACTTGGCAAAAGGCAATAAGATAATTACTTCCCAAGAACATATATATTTGCAAAACTTCTAACGATTGGAAGATTTTAATTTCTTGATCATGGGTCGTTGAAAGGTCTCCCCATTGGTGATACCATAACATCATATGATTTTGGAATTGAGTTGAAAAACATTTTAAAATTGTTTCATTACCAGAACCCTATTTGGAAAAGGTAGATCCATATGAAGGTTCCAGTCCAAACCATTCTTTTATTTATAGTGCATGAAGCAACCTACCTATTGATTCCGAAATCATGTCCGAAAGTAGATTTAATGAGGAATAACATTCGAACAAGTTCTTGATTGGGAGCTGATGTTTGTAGTCATTCTGACAAGACTGAATGGTTTTCAGGGAACAAAGGAAAAGAGGGCTTCGTGATGCAGATGTGGAGAGTGATGAGGGATCTGAACCAGAGGCAAAAAAAAAGAAGGACGAAGATGCAAGAGACGCATCCAACACCCAGCTGGCTGATCTTGCTCCGGTCAGTTTCCATCATTACTCTTCTAAATTAGAAGATTAAATTAGAAGAATTAAACATGAAATGAGGGGAGTTCGTTGTCCCAGTTGGTGTTCTTTTTCGAGACCTGCTGAGCCTGTATTGTTGAGCAGGCTCCATATGCACCACGGCTCTGATCCGGACGAGGAATCATTTGCCGCACTATATCCTTTCTCTAAATGTGGCATATTTAAGAACCCCGATAACGAAGGACCTACTATGAATAGTGCATCCTTGAAGTACAGATGCGGGTCAAAATCACATCCATGGGCGATAGTGCAATCCCCCACCTTGTGCCATGAATGCCTTGCTTTCAGTCCATGAAAGGAACCGTGAAATCTTTTCCATCCATATCTTTTCAACTACAAAAACCTGAGAAGTGAAATCAAGGAGATGAGGAGGCTTTCGCCCTTGCAGATCTCTCGCCCGAAGTGGTTTGACCCTTCTTGACTCCCGTCTCTCACATTTCCTATGACTCTGTCCCAATTCCTTTCTTAATAGGAAACGTATTAAGTTGGAGGAGGGCAATGACCAGCTCTGCCTCGAATGGGGCTGAGGATTCAGAGCGAATTTCTCCTTTCCAGCCAGAAAAGAAATTGCTCGCTTCCCCACTCCAAGTTTTTTTTTTTAATGGTACATTAAAAGTGAAGGGATTGGTGCATTGGGGTTTAGTGCTTGCTTGCTTTTTTTCGGTTGTCAGAGTTTCTTCGTCCTGCACTGATTGTCTTTCCGCGTAGGTGGTAGACTCACGTGAGGAAGATCCTCAGATCCTGCAACTCCCACTTACTGCGAACAGTTGCGCCCGCGGTAGTACGGCAGAGGGGTCTGCGCGATCTATCACCACCACTTCTGGCTGCGCTGAACCAAAAACTTCTCACCTGTCAAGAGAATTCACAGACCCCACTGCCAGGAAACCAACTCGACCAGCCCGCCCAGGAGTTGCAAAGCAAACTACTCGTACTACTACGGTCAACGCTCATCCGACCCCAACGTCTCAAGCAGGAACTCCCTTGTCTGTTGACCTCTACTAGTTCAACATATTTTCAAGTACCAAAAGTCTGTAGCCTTAAGGCAATCCTCGAGCCTAACCAAGGGTTTTGGCACAAATCAGCGCACGAACAAATATCGAGCTAAATGTATAAGCTTCATGGCATTCACTAGTCATTAACGATTTTGAATAGAATTGTAGGATGCAACAGGAGTGGTAGTGACACTGGCGGTCAGGATTGAAACACAGCAAAATAAAATAGCAATAATAAAATAGTATGGAGAGATACAATTGATGATAATGCTGCAGGACGCAACAACACTTTCAACTAGAGTTTTTTATTCACATAAAACATTATATGGCTAATTTGCTCAAGTATTCCAAGAGAATTGTCGTGAACATTTTAAGATCTCTTCATCTCTTTTCAGAGCCACATGCAAAGCTTCTGAACCGAATCTTGCCCAGCAAAAACCTTCCCAGAAGAAAGAACAGAATAAAGAGCCAGCTGTACGTAAAAGGTCAATAACCAAGACCATTCCAATGAAGAATCTTGACAACAAGGGATATGAGGCATCTACTTCTGGTAAGAAAGATAACAGGCCTACAGCTGTTGCTAGTCTGACTCCTTCCTGTTGGACTCGTACTACCATGACATCAACACAACAAAGGTAATTCAACGAAATTGATGGTTTCGATACGTTTCAGTGCCTTTGGTATCCACTGATCCTACCCTTTCTACGATATCAAGTATGAGTTGGTACTTTTATGGTCGTAATTTCAAGTCCCGAATTGCATTGAAGCATACAAAATGTAATTTAACTTGCAACTGATGATGAACCCATTTGGATGCTCTACCATCAAACATCTTTATTTTCACTTTAGGGATGTCATTACGGTCTCTCAATGGGATCCTGCTCAGCCAAGTCCGTCACAAGAGCTACAGCAGAATGCATGCCCGGATGGAGTAATGCCTAAGACCACCGATACAACGAAGGAGAATCCCATCATGCAGCGTCCAACATCTCCAGTGAAGGATTCTAACATCTTCTCTGGCCTCTCTGTAGCTGGCTTGAGTCACGCACCTGCGACGAAACGTGCTTCAACTATGTCGGATGGTGTCACACCCATTCCACGCTTTTCCCTTCCTGCCAAACGTCCTTGTATGGGAACGGCAGACAATCGAAACGAAGTGCCATGGTACAGAATATTCGCTTATGTCGCATTATGTACAGTTGAGAATTTCCCTGGAAAAAGGGCGTAAGCGCCCAAACGACCTTCATTCATAAACGAACCCATGTGCTGCTTTAGGGGACTTGTCATACGATAGGGTGGTCAGCAATTAGTAAAGATACGTATTCCGCAAAGGAGAAGCAGATACTCCTATGGTTTCCCTTTATGGCAGGCCCAATACCTGACAATTTGAATGCGGTCGTCTCCATGAATATTCCCTTAGCACCTACGTCAGTGAATGGATTTTGATAGAATAGCTCCACACTTTCGAACTGAAAGTGAAAATGGGGTAGGAATCATACAAGAGGAAAGAGAAGAAAGGACCCCAGCCATGCAAGACTCTGGAAGGATGCGAGAAGTTCGCGATATCCGTGAAACATTTGGAGATTCAGTTAATGAATTAATAAATAATGGATCACGGATGAGTAATTGGTAAATGAAACTTGCACTGAATATTAATATTTTTGTCATTCTTGGAGGAAGAATTGATTTGAAAATTGGTAATACCTTTATTGGGAAATTATGATTTTAACTGTAAAGAGGTAGCAAAAGATTGGCTGGAAAAAGTTCCAGCAGTGCAGACAAGGTGAAAGGGCGTATAGGCATAAGCACTTTCTCCCAGCATCCCAGGAATATGAGGTAAAGAAATTCATTAAAACCACAAGTTTGATTGAAAAAAGGTATAATGCTATTTGGCTGAAAACTGAATTTTGACCAGCTGCAGATTAGCTTTGGGAAGTTTTAGCCGCTCATCTCAAATTGCATATTTTACCTTTTCCCAGAGGACTCCTCAATTATAACGAATGTGAATCACATATGAAGTAAGTAAATCTCCTAATCTAAATCAGCAATAAATAAGAGGTAGTCTTTTCTACCCCCCAGTTAGGGTGCAGTTTGCTTATTGTCTTCTTTCTTAACCATGAAGATGACTTTAACATCCTTTGGACTAAATGTGCTGAACTTATTTATCTTGGGAATAATGGATCGTATGTCTGCGAATGAAAATTCAAGTTACGCGCCCTTTAGACTCTTGAAAGCACAATAGGGCATTTTCACCGATGTCACAAGATGACGTTTAACAGAGGGGCGGAGGGAACATCCGCCATGCTGGAGTACAGGGGAGCGGGGGTTCCGATTGATAGGTTTATGTCATGGGTGTAGCCTCATCAAGTCTGCATCATGAATACCAGTTTTTCCGCTTATTTTGAGACGCTGCATGGCACGGCAAAAGACCCCTATCCGGAGAAGATGAAGATATGCGAAGACACTGATCCTTACGCGCTGAAGCCCTGTGATGGTCTGGTGGATCATCCCAAGTTCTGGCATAAAATGCGATGCGTTCCATTTTTCGCAATAGCGCCTGTTAGTCATGGCGAAATTCTTAAAGCAATGCCCTTGACTGTGCAATGTCACCATGTCGTGTCTTTTCAACGGAAAATCATGGCGTTAAAGGGTTGTTTCGAAAAGAAGGCCTATGAAGGAAGAGACTCCACAGAACTGAGCCCACGATATGATAGGAAATTCCAACTACAATATTCACTTCTCTCTCCCGAACATACGCTTAGAGCATCACATGCCATCAAATTCAAGTCTTACCTTCCCACTTGAGGCCTAAAAAGACGACCCGATCTAGAATCCTGACGAGGACACCTGTTTTGGGCTACCTTTCTGATCATGGATTTAGATCTAGGCCTGTACGGACACCACACAACCGATTGGGGAAACAGCATATATAATCATTTATGCAGGTCCGTCACTCTCAAAGACTCGGGGAACCACCTTTGCAAGTGTGGGTACTTGCTCAGACCTGGATAGACCCGAGAAATTCATCATAGTTGAGCAAAGTATCATCGTCGTTCTTGCCAAACGTAGTCTGTCTGTACTCCAGCATGGCGCGGAGGCGGTGTCTCCCGAGCTGTGACGTCACGTGAAAAAGCCCTATTGGCGGTGCTAATGTAGCAATGTGGAGAAAACATTAACAGTGAAAGGAAATATGCTTGGCCTTAGAGTTTTTCCTGCATTTGAAAACGTAAATTTAAAAAATGTAGTGGCGCGGACAATTCAGTAGCGATGCTCCTGCACAAAAAACAAACCCACCTGGAAACACGAGTCTTTTAATGAATGGAAATGGCAATGTCATGGACTTGCTTTGCTCGAATGGAAAAAGATTTTCCTGAGGAAGGAGGATACTTACGATAGCTTTTGGAAGTGACCTCCACAAACCGCTCGATGTGCCGCCAAAGCCGACAAACCTGAGTTTGTCCCCCACATTGTTTTAATTTCCTGGCCTTTCTTTTTGGAGCGTCGTGAGGGAAAGTATTTTGCGCTCAGAAACCACGAACCAGTCATACACACAGAAAAAAAATCGCTGAAGCTTTGCGGGGGATCAGCCAGGACCTATGCTAAGAAGTGTCGTTTTGTAAGGGGATGATAGCGCGGGTACCTAAATACGGAAGTACAAATTTTGCACTAAGTGCAATAGTCTGTTTTCATATACGAGGGCTGTTCAAAAAGTATCCGACCTTTGGCCGGGAAAAATACAATTACTCACCTGGAGGCCTGAAACCCTAATCCCCTTCAAAGTAGTCTCCTTGGGACTGCACACACTTTTCCCAGCG